TTCGCGGAAACACACGACGAATCCTTCGACCGTTTTACACACAAATTGCCTCGTCGAAGATACATTGTTTTCCATTAGTACAGTTTCTTATAATAACTACAATAATTCTTCAATTGCCCTGTAAAAGTTGATTTTAATACTACTATTTAAGATTGACGAGTTTTCTCTTCCTCTCTTTCTCTCTGTCTTTCTAACAATAAATAAAAATTTATATAAAATAAATCTCTCTCCAAATCTACCTTAACACAAAATTAATTTATTATTTAAATACATGTTGAATGAATCTATTGTATTATATATTTTCCTAATAAAATTTTTACATATGTTACAATTTATTTTCGTTAAAATCTAGTCTGTTAGAATCCCAACTGGATGAGCCGCAACCAGTTTTGACACGCGAAATTTTTTTTATTCGACATAAAACGATGGTGTCTAGGATGAGTCGAGCGTTTACACAATGTGTTGAAGTCGTCGGGACCACGTTTTGACCATGTTAAAAAAGTGCGGAACGACTTTGCGAGCAAAAAGTCGCAAAAGGAGAATGGCCATGCGAAACGGAACGTAACCGGTGCGCCAGGATAGGATAGCAGTGATGTGCAGCAGTATTTATAGTATGGATTGTGTCTGCTTGGCAGCTCGCCATCGGATGAACGTCTACGGAGAGCTTCCCTATGGGAAGCGCAAGTAGCCGCGAGTGCTATTGATAACTATTGTCTTCTGCATTTATCCGCGAGTCGGTTATTCCCTTGCAATCCTTGAACTACCATACTAGAAAAAAAAAAAAAGTTTTACCTCACCCGAAAGAGGGATAGAGCGTACACGTACACACACATACATACACAGACAGTGACGATGGTTTTTCCATGCCGGAGCTGCTACAGCAGCGGGAATGAATCACGATCGGGCCCGATACTCGTTTGCAAGCTCGATCTGGCTTTTATTAGACTGGCTGACACCGAGGATCACTGCCAAACTAGGATCGCGCGAACAATGGCTTCTACGTATCGGGTCGACCGAGCGAAAATAACCACGATTGCCCGCGCTTCCTATTGTCCTCTATTTATTTATCTTTTTTTTCTATCGCAGTTAGAAAGTAGAAAGAGGAAAAGAGAAAGAATTCGGTGGCAATTTTCTTTTTATTTGAGAAGATCCGACGTGGATAAAATAAAATTTTAAGAAATATATTTGCATAGTAAGCAAATCTAAAGACGCGGAAGAAAAGAGACAAAAGTGTTGTCGAGAAGTAGACGTTTCTATTGTAGAAAACGAATCGAAGTGGTATAGTTTATATTATGGTTGATATTATGATTTCAAAATGATGTCTCTGAAAATATTTGTCTTGCGTGCCCAGAATCCATCCCCGTCCATTCAGATTTCCCCATTCCTTAGCTTCCGAGATTCTCAAACGATTCTAAAACACGACGGATCTGTATTTTACTTTCTTCTCGTGCATCCTGTACATACTTAATATGTTGAAAGAATTTTTCTTATATGCAATTAGTCAAAGAAAAAAACTTTGCTTTTAAAATGAGTCGAAAAGATAAGTTTGCTCAATTTTATAAATTAATTCTTTTATAAATAATAATAAGATATTGAAAGACGATATGCTGTGTGATAATTCTTTTTTATCTTACAACGTCTTCATACAAGTAAAAATCTCGGAGTAATGTTTCTTGGAAAATATTTTTATCTCCTCTTTCGTTTTCCCTCTTCTCCGCCTATAAAAAAATCCTAAACGCAACATCGCTCCGACCTTTACCTGCTACCAAGTGCAGCGCGATGAATAGCGCCGCCATTGTTACCGTTTTAGCTTTTTTCATCGATTACCGTTACCCCAAAGAGAGCGAAGCTTAGCGCCGAGGATCGTCCTTGTCTCACGTGTCCCCCATAACCCCGGGATTAGACCTGGCTTTAATACCCGACGACAAGGGATTTCGACGGGTAATTGAATCAAGACATACCGGTACGCCAAGTTTAAAAGTTAAAAGTGTTTGCCCTGTCGCTATACAATTTGTGTAATTTCGCTCGGGTCATCCGCGTGCGGTGACCGACTCAATTAGAGAAACTAGATTCAAAGACAATCCGGAGTAGCTTCTTCATCGTATTGAAAGATCACTCGAGTATCGTTTTAATTAAGTAAAGTGCTGATAAAATGATACACTATCAGAAATAATTGCGAAATCAGTGTATAGATTATTATTAAAAAAAAAAGATTTCATTATAATACTTTATTATTAGTATAAACGAGAAAAAGACAAATTTTGTCAGAACCGACAAATATTGTAGATTTTTACAGTATCTAAATCTTTTGCTAATGGAATGAAATTTTGTTTATTCCTTAATTTTGGATAAGGCCATTATATGAATTATTGTCATAAACATTTGGGCATATTCTGTGTTTCCGAAAAATAACTTTCTTAATATAATGTGAATGCTTCATTTAACTGATAAGTAAAATGCTTGAAAAAAGTACACAAAGTATAAATCGCAGGATAGAATTTTAGAAGAATTATATAATTATATATTAATTGATCTGCATGTAAGATAATCGCATTACTCGATCTGCAGAAACCGTATCGTATGATTATCACGTTTCATTTGCATATTTCATAAATTTACATATTTCATATATTTGCAATCATTTTTCACATTTATAGATAAATGTAAAATTCGCATTTATTTGCAGAAGAATTGACAACAAAAACTATTGCGAAATTGATAACAGAAAAAACCGCATAATATTGCATAATAAATTGACGGCAAATCACAAAATGTAGGGATTTAATATAAATATACTAGATAAAGTAACAAATAATGGCACATTCAACGCCTCTGGGATATTCCCAAAACAATAACACGGTAACTACTCTCTATGCATGTGAGTTATATGCATATATGACGATATTACAGTCAGTCCCTTTGATACGCGGGCTGGTACACACATGCATGTTAATTCTTTCTGACTGATAAAACCGGAAGCGATGCTCCCTTTTTGTGTCAGCTGGTCCGTACTTAGATGTGTCGATTCGGCGAGATCCCGGTTTTGATCTATCGCGCGGAAGGATCCGATCGCCCTCAACCAAGTTGTCCGTGTATTCACTGTCGAACCCATAGCCGGATGGATGAGACAGGTTCGCCTGTGTGGAATATGCTTGTGTGGCTTGTATTCGTCCGTAAAAATATCGAACAGTTTCGAGGCTGCGCATACACATTCGCTCGTACATACAAAGAAAGATCACATATATTTGTAGGTAATAACGGCGCGCGCACGATATTCTGTCAACGTGTCAAGATTCACTAGCGACATGATTAATGGAAACGCATCAATGTTTCATTGCGATGCCTCGCGAAGAATAAAATTGCCACTAATACACATCAGTGTTTAGTAATAGATATCAAAATCGCGTCTCTTTTACGGAGAAATCTTAATATTGTATATTAATAATATAAAAATATATTATACATATAATAATAATGAAAATTTATTAAAATTTATTAAAATGCGGTCTCCCCTGCATTAATATCCGTATTCATTTCGCATAATATCGGCATAATGCAGGCTCTCATATCGCCAGAGCGACAGAGCGAGCTCCATAGATGATCCATACGTCCTACAGCGAGCGATATTTAACGTGGGCGAGAAAGCTAGGTAGGTCACAGGCTCTGTAAAAAGCCGCGCACATGCATGTTGGATACATAATTCGCAAGGCGATTTCCCGGCGCCCCGGCCTCAAAGGAGCAGCCAGGTGAAGTGTATATTCCGTACTCGGCGCGCGAGGCCACCTTCGCGCACGCACGAGTAGTCAGGTGACATCGGCGCGCAAAGCGGTTATTTTTAGTTCAATTTGTCGCTCGAACGGTACCATAAAGCCGAGCGCGCGCCGCGTTATACTTGTACACATATACATACATATACGTGTGCGACCCATGGCGGTGCAATGGGGAGACGAGGAATGGAAAGGGGGAGGGGAGAATGGGGTTCACCTCGTACATACGGGCTTTTACGTGAGCATGTGCGAATAAACGTTGCCGGGATCGTTAAAAGCGTCAACTAGTTACCGCGACGAAACTTTCGCTTTGCGCGACAATTTTAATACGCAGATACGCGTGCGAGGGGATTATTTTATAATTCCATGAAAAGCAAATTCCCATTATCATCGGGCATAAAGATGCCCTTTCTCTCCTCTCACCACCTCCTCCTTCAACCCCCCCCCCCTTGGTTTACGGCCCTACCGGCCCGCGACGGTCCCCTGGGAGCCGAACGTTGCGAGGATTAACTCTTAACTGTACTGACGTTGTGGTGCGAAATCCCTCGGCCATGTAACCGTATTAAAAGTTAGAGAAACTGTTTTACGAACGTTTCCGAAGAAGAATATTTCTGCGAGATAATTTACGAAGTCTATAAAAGAGCGCATCGCGAGCCGCGTACCAAAACTATTCGCTTATTTAGACAATCGCGCGTTTATCGCTGACCCAAAAATATATTTCGACAAAATGTTTATGTGTGTTCGTTTTAATAGATATTTCTGAATTTTAATATTCTGTTAAAAATATCTTAAAGTACGTAGATGATTGGATAAGTCTTGGAATGCGCTAATTTTACAAGTATTTTACAACGACGAACCTCTATATGGATATATGTTCTTTTAATAGAAATAGATTTTCAGTAGAAAATGTTTCCTAGTTTAATCGAATGAAAAAGTGTATTGATAGAATAACGGAAATTATTTTGGTTGGAGATTGTACATAAATAAAACTGTATTGCAAAACTGACCTAGTGATAAGAATGTATTATCTCCAAACCGACATCAAAATTAATGTCTTTTGACGTGAATAACGTACTAACAATAAGATAAAAACGAAAATAGAGAATTTCGATTATACGGGATGACAATAAGTCGTTTTTAAAGGAGAGAGCCCATGTAATAAATTATGCGTCGAAGGAAAATAAGACAAAAACACAAAATAAAGACATTGTAAACTTTATCATCTCGTAATTCGAAAGTCTTGACTCATAATAAACACTTTTTCATTACCTTTGTTACATGAACGAAAATTCTCTCGGAAGCCGAGAGTCTTCGACGCGGTGGGGTTAATTTTCGCAGAGTCAGTATTTGCTTGCGCGCGGTTTCTCTCTCTCCCTCTCTCTCTCTCTCTCTCTCTTCGCTCACCGCGGCATCTCTACGAGCGTTTATGCGTACATACATAGGCGGGCGCGAATCAAAATCAATAAGCCGATTATTGGCCCGCGCTGAGCGGAGATTACGTCGCTTTGAATTGACACCGCCGACGCGCGAGTGCGATTCAATCCCGCGGGCTTTCCGCGACAGGCGGACATCCGTCCTACTTTCTTTTTCCACCGAGTCCCCGCGACACGCAAGAGCAAAATGGCGCACGCTCAACGCTCTGACCTCGCTCCCGCGCGCCTCCTTCTCGCGCTCTCCCCCTCATCCCCCCCGTCTCGTGCCACGCGAACGAACTCGACATTCGTATTCAGGCAGCTATGAAAGACAACCGGCTCGTTTTCCACGTAATTTCATCGCCTTTCATTATAATACGCATTTACCACATGCGGGAAAAATTTATCAATAGCGGCGCGAATATATCGCTGATGTTAGCGTCAAGAACAGTCGTCGCGCGGCGCCACCGTACGAAGGGAGCTACAATGACCATAGACTATAGATTTATATAGATAGCGCGCTCCTATTGAAGACAAGACGGCATAGGGTAAGAGGGGATGAGAGAGACACGTGCTTTCCCTGCCCGATTCTGCAGTTGATGGGATCAACAAGGAAAAACATGATTCTCTCTTATTAATACTATCTTTTTGTTTCTAATGAGAGACTAATGATAACGAAGAAAGAGATAAAAACATGGGAAAAAGTTTAGGAATTATTTAAAACTTATAAGTTGCAAAATAATATAATATGTATGCAAGAGAGACAAAATTATCCCTTTATAATTATAAAGATATATAAATACTCCTATATTTTATATGTCACTATCGTGACATTAATTAGAAGTTTGACGGAATATTTAAAAACTGTATATTCAGATATATTGTTGCTATATACAGTTGCTAGACAGTTTAATTATATCGCTGCGTTAAATTTCATTATGTAAATATGACGAACAAATGAGCGCAGTGTTTGACATAACGAAGCAAATATCAAATAATTTTTCCGATTAGATTGTAATAATAAACATTTATGGCTCACAAAATTTTCAGTTTGGCGATATAAAGATCCTCAAATTTATTCTTATACGAAACGTTATTTCGACAGAGGAGATCTCAACAGGAAATTTAATAAACCCGGTAAAGAACACACAAAATTTTCAAAAAAATCAGGTTAGAGATTTAATATGATTATAAAATCGTAAGAAATTTTCAATCCTTCAAATCAAATTATTACGCTTTAACTCGCGATTATTAATTTGTATTTTTATTTTCTCTGAAAGAGAAGCTTGACAAGACTTGACAAAATGGGTCAAACTATGGGTAGAATGCCTGAAACATGGCAAGGTCTCCTGGAGGAAAAAAATCGTGTTTTACACTGGAGTTCCGAAGTGTTGGCACGAGTACAAGATAATGTTACGAACGAAGATACGTTCTTAATGGACTATGATGACGATAAGATCGACGCGAAAATCAATACGTGGATTAAAACTAATCAAACACGAGTTGACGAATCATTCAAGAAGTTCGCGAAAGCACCGGATGTACTCAAAAATGAAGTCAAAACTGGAACCGAAAAAGTAATAAATTTTATTTTTTACAGAATCTTTATACGTCAGTAAAAATTAAAATTTTTAGGATTAAAAAATTAATAAATTTTAGGTTTTTTTAAATTATACATATTTGTAAAATAAGAAGTGCTAAATATATCGCAAATTTAATTTTTGATCGTATAATGTTTAGCTATTCGAAGAAATACAAACGAAAATGCGGAAGGATTATAGGAATGCGTATAATGACATAAAAAAATTTAACAAGAAAGTGGACCAGTTGGGAGCAGACGAAAGAAAGATTCACGCCGATATACAAAAGTTGGAGGAGGAGTGCGCAGAAGATGTGCAAAAGTTTCAGAAGAAATTCGGACCGTTGCGAGTAAAAGTTTTCGATAACTTGAGAACAGGCGAAAAGATGATATTCCAAGACAAAAGATTAAAAACTGATTTCACTAAAAAGGTATAAGCGCTTTTCCTAAACAATTTATATCTCCCTCCAGAAATTTGCGTAAATATTCAGTTGCGTCTCTTTATCTTTAAGGTGTACGACATTGATCACAAATATTCTGCTGATTGCACGAAACGGATCGACAAAATGCTCAAAGATTTCGAGAAAAGCGCGACAAAAACATGAAACACAATGAAAATGATGCGCAATTAAAAAAAAAAAAAATGTGTCGTTAAATTTCAAATCATACCGTCAGATTTTTATGTATGTGATCGGCTAATGCGTTTATAAAATGAGTGTGTGTGTGTGTGTGTGTGTGAAACGATACAAATTTTCTTTTTAAGATATCATCTTGTTTTGCGATAACTTTTTTATCCGTAATTATTATGTGGATTGGAAACCACTTTTACCTTGGATTAACATTTTTTAATAAATTTTTAATTAATTAAATTTTTTGAACAAATTTAATAGATATCTAAAATTTAGAGCTTAATTATAAAAATATACATTTATGTTTTATATTTTGAAAAGTTGGAAGCATTAAATATTAAATAATGATACCTTCAACATTTTCATCCAATGATGAAAATTTCAATAAAAAATTATACAATTAAGTATCTCCAGTAATTCTAGAACACTCGGTAAAATCATTAGATTTCTTTCTGCTTGCCAGATCGCGTCATATATTCATTCAAATCTTTTCCGAGATGTGATCGACAGTAATGTGATCTCAATAACATCAATATCATAGAATAATCTTCGCGATCCCTCAAACGGAATATTTTCGCGTGCGTATTCGTGATTTTCTCTAGCGATTCTACGCATTCGAAACGAGAATAACGAGAACAGGAAAGAGAGGCAAGGCGACACCAGACCCTGTTATCAGCTTAGTGGTAGAGTAGTTGGGGTAGGCTCTCCCGGAGACTCTTGTGACCGGGAAAGCATGTTGAAGCAAGTGGTTTTACGCGGCTTATGTTAGCCACCTACGCGACGTTCCAGGAACGTGTCGTCTGCGATGTAACCATTGAACGTACCGCGATGACACACATACTTGTGTAGTATAATCAGTACCAGAATAACTCTGAATCATTTTTAACCACTCAGCAAATTTATTTCCTATAAAAGAACCGATGGCAATATTAATATTCAATTATACCACATTTCATTACTATTGATTGATGAAACCTATTTATTTTACCGAGATTTCTGAAATATTTGACACTCTTATTAATGCAGTTTTGAGGCAAATACAATTTGTAATACTTAGATACTGTGTGGATATTATTTCATTTTAAAATATAATAAGTTAAAGTAATAAGTTTAAGCCAAATATATATATATATATTATTTGGAACCTCTATTTTAACAAAATTTTCAAAATTTAATGCTTTCAATATAGCTTATATTAAGGCAAAATATGATTTACAGCACTTAAATTATGCTGCTCATCCTCTGATGCATCATACGATTTTGGCTCTGTTTGAAAGCTGTATATAATATAATTTACACATTGATAACTGAATTCTCGTATATTGCTTCCCCATGAGTTAATAATTACACAATAAAAAATAGAATAAAATATAAGCTATAATAAATATAAGATAAAATAAAAGAGAACAACCATTAAAAAAGTATATCTCAATAAAATTGAAGCAAAATATATCATTCAGTGTCTACAACATTCCAATAATGAGACACATTAACCGTTAAGTAATTAATTAAACTTACTCACGATAACGACTCTTTCCACTGCAATTTGCGCGAAAATTTGGATGATGGAAAATTACTGAGAGAAAATATCTTCTCTGAAGATATTCTCTAATCCTCGAAGTAAATCGATATATGATCCTGAACGCAATTGATATAACGCACCACCGTACTCCAGTGAACTGTATGAGCGATCCCTTTGTTCGGATGTCGTCACTTTTTCGCCGAGAAAGAGGTGCGTTTGGATGATGGCATCTCTTTCTAGTATTACCTGATTGGTCCATGGTATGCGCGTGATATCAGTCTCAGTTTAGATGATATCACGTGACATGCCATGGACCAATCAGGTAATGCTAGAAAGAGATGGCATCATCCAAACGCGCCTCTCTCTCGGCGAAAAAGTGGCGACAGCTAAACAAAGAGATCGCTCGTTCCAGTATGTATACAGTTCACTGCCGCGCTCTCGAGATGATATTTCGACGCAATGGCCGACAACCTATGTTTCCGATACATAAATCATAGATATAGAAATGGACAGAATGGTGGAACCATTTTTCGCGAGCCCGCGAAGTTGCCTAATATTGCGCTCCCGCAGTCAAATTCTAAGAAATATGTATTTCCCATACGCGATGATTGCCCGAGGCGATTATTCTATATGAAAATTTATACGAAATTTCAGCTATGAGATATTAATAATTCCCGCAGGATATAATCTTGTTTCGCATTTTAAAAGTCAGATAAATCATGCGCGAATAATTCATTTTCCAATAATTTTCCTAGAAAAATTCCAATAAATCATCTGCTGTATATATCCGTTTCAGAAATATTTCTCCTTTTCACCTGAGTTATATACGTGACTAAGCTGATATAATAATCTATTTTACAATTACCCATGTTCGAAAATACTCGATATATATGTATATGTCGCGCGAGAGTTATCATTAAAAATCCGATTCGTTTACACGACCTTCGGTAGCCGTGATCGTCTAGTGGTTAGGACCCTACGTTGTGGCCGTAGTAACCCAGGTTCGAATCCTGGTCACGGCAATGCGTGAAAGCATTGTCACGGCGAAGGCTTTTTTTTTATCTTTTATGTTTTTTTAATTTAAACATGGTTAAAATAAGCATTTTCGCGGTAAAAAATAAATTTCTTTATTATTTAAATTTATACAAAATATATTTTGACAAATTTTGTCAAAATTATTTAGAATTATTGTCACTTGCTAAAATAGTTATTGATTGTATATATATATATAAATCTGTTATATTCACTTTATAATTCATAATTATCAATATATAAAATGTATGTGTATTGTGTAATTTCAGTCGCCTTGGAATGAATTCGACGGAATTTATGAAAGCGCAATACGTGAAACACAAAACTTTAGGAGCGCAGATATTCTATATTATATTGCAATCGTTCCCCGAATATAATTGTGACATTCAATATGTCAGGGACATTACGCAAGTGGATTGCATTCAGTAAATTAAAATGCAAAATTGCATTAATGATGCCAGAGAAGCAGTTTGAAAAGTAATCAGCAAGTTGTGCAATGTCAACTATTATAAATCAAGATACAGTTATGCCTCTTATGGCAGTGCGGTGAAGGATCACGTACATGATTTGTACCTGATTTTATATTTTTTACTTCTCTTACATATTTATTAAACGATATGGCTGTTCGACATCGAATTCAGTGGTTAATTTATATTGTGTACTGTGTTGGTTCGTATATTTCTTTTTAATTAACTCTATTCAATCTAAATCCAATAACATTATAATTTTATCAAAATTATATCAATAATACAACCTTTTTTTTGATATAATATAAAAGTTCAATACATGTATGTGTGTTGAAATTTGAGCCATTTGATTTAGAGAATCAATTAGATGTGAGTCTTTAAAAAACTTGCATTGATATTTAATTGTTATGTATATAAAATTCAAAATCCTTCTTTTACTAAAACAATATCAAGTAATGAGAAAAGGAAAGAATTCTTGAGAATAATTCAAAATTTTTAAATATGCTTGTATCATACAGAGCATTTAAATAAGAGCATTTATAAATGTTCTTCATTCTGTTTAAAATATTTGCAGATATATCTGTAATCATTAATTTTTATATATCTAGTTTTAATGAATTAATCAATGTAGTAATTAATGTAATATACTTGCAGCAATAGTTCAAAGCACACTGTTGGACATAAATGATATTAAATCTTGCGACTTGTTATGTAAACAATGTAACGCCTCCGCAATATTTGCATACGACCGCTGTGAGTGTAATTTTTCTGACGATAATGACAAAGGTATTATTACAAGTTCTTCTTATCTTAAAAAAGATGGATTGCGCAGAAATATAATTTCCAAAAAAATAATATCATATACGCAATATATCTTAGATTTTCATTCGACGATATATAATTTTAGGAGCAGAATGTATACAGCGTATACAGAGAGAGATTCAAACTATCGATCTGAATACACTTTCTGAAGATCTCACAGATGAGGAGCGAGATGTACGTTCCATTTTAACATCCAGACGTCGTCTCAGAATGGGTAAGACAGAAGTAATCGTGTAGAGCATTCCAATTTTCTATTTACATAAATATGAACATTTAAAGAAACATACCATATATTATGCTCACTTTGCATCTCAATTATATCAGACATTACTGCCATGAAATATTCAAAAATTTAAAGAGACAATCTAAATTGATTTTGGAAATGTACCTCTTGAAAAATAGTTTGACACACTTTTAGTAATCAATATAAAAGTAATTTCGTTTATATAGAAGATTAACTTAATTAATATCTAAATACGAGAAATACAAAATGTAGTATAAGAGACATTTAAGAAACGCTACGAGAATTGAAAAACGTCTTCTTCTACATATTTGAATAACATCGGTGTCTAATATCTAAAGTAAAGACCGCCGAATTGCCTTGTAGGAGATGCCGACAAAGTGGCACAATATTTTATCAATGGAGGGCCAACGGCTGGTCACTCACATTTTATCAAAACGTTCAATGCGGCTTACGATAGCTCCGATTCTGCAACAAATTCATTTTCGGGCATCCTCGATTGGAACAGCCCCGAAAACGAATTTCACGGTGAAAAACCGTTAAATAGTGCAATTTCTTGGAATACATGCGATTCTCCATTGTACATGGTACCAGATACGGGATCGTGCGCACATCCAGCTGTGTCCGGCGTAGAAACTCCGATCGTCGGAATGATAAATCCAGCTCTCAGTTATCCAGCAAATGGATTGTACGCAACAAACCCGTTGGTGGGTTCAATTATTCATCCCTACAGACACGGATTGCCCTCCCATCATACCTTACACAATTTTCCAGGAGGAATTTTGTCGAATCTGTTTGGTCATCATCGTTGGGCCCATCATCATCCTGTGTATCATGGCGGTTTCATCAGAAGCTCTAACGTAAGCACCGCCTAACAAAATGATTTACAATCCCGTATAAGGAATTTCGGCAAATGCTATTCATTCTGAATAAAGCTTCTAGACTAACGTCTGTGATTCAAATTCCACATAAAACTAAAATTCCTGTAAAGAATTTACTTATATATATATACATAGAACAATTTTAATTTGAAATAAACAATGTGAAATATAATATATAAATAATAAGAATGTATTTAAAAATATATCTTTTCTATATTAATCATTACAGAATATAAATCCAGTCTCTGCTGATCAATCTGCTGGTGAAAATGATAGTTCTACTGCTTTTAAAGACTTTTCTATTGCCAGAAGTAATGCTGTAAGTTTCTTAATAATATAATGAATATGTTTGTCCAGTTTCATTAAAAAGTATACAATGTGTTTCACAGCTAGTATAATATTATGACAGATTTTTAAATGAATTTTTGTAATTGATTTTTCTTTAATAGAATTGAGAAATTTTCGGAAAATCTGTCATTAAAATTAAGTTCAGAAATCGTATAACACTCTAAATATTGATGCATCAAATTGTAACACTTTGTATATTGATATATCGAGTTACAATAATCTGTATATTGATACAACTGACAAATAATTACTTGATACATTAAAATTGTTAAATATAATTACTTTGGTTTGTAAAGAAACAGATAAATTCCAAATTAAAATTTATCTTTTTCAGGATAAATCTGTTGACCAAAATATTGTTGGAAATCCGATGTATATGTTCAATGCAAATCCAGTATATCAACCGAGGCAATATCGACTCTCTAGTGCCCCATATCAATATACTTCTTACCATAATCCCTTGATTAATGTACTCCATCCTGATGGATATATTATCCAACCTGAATATATTCCACAATATATGCATGACACATCAAATCCACTGATTTCTGCGTTTAATCCAAATTCTTATTGCGCAAATAATGTAAATGCTGAGCAGAAGAATGAAATGTCAACTGTCAACATTGCACATTCTAATAATGAGGCAGAACGATCTAATAATGCAATTAAAAATAAGGAAGAAAACAAAACAGTGAAAAATGAGAACAATAAATCATAATAAAATAATATAAATTAAATGTGTTGTTTTCTTATATCTAGTCTAAAACCTCAAATTTCTTGATATTATTATATTGCCGTCATACAGCAAACAATTAACGACTTCATTATTACATTCTCTCTTTGACAAACAATATTAAATATATTTTCTCAAAAAATTTAGATATTAATTAGTTTGATCTAGCTTTTATGGTTAAAACCAAGTTAATTAAAATTTATAAATGTGACAAAACTATTTTAATATCTTGCATTATATTGTAATTTAGGTTTTAATACAGATTTGTAAGGTATGATAGTAGAACTTGGTAAAATACTAGCTTTACTCTTAAACTTTGAATCGCATTAATTATTTTAATTTTATTTTATATATTATATAAAAACAATATAGAATTAAAATGTAAATAAATCATATATCATATATATATGTATGTATACACATAACACAAATGTTTCATATAATGAAAAATATAAGCAAAAACCATTTCACATTATGAATGGTTCCAAATCCTCTTCTTTACCTCCTTCCCTTGCCTTTTCCTTTCTTCGATGTCGATGAGGACGACTGCGATGCTTGCTCGCTAGAACTCTGTTTGCCCTGACGAGTCTTTAACTTTGGAATTGTAGTTCCGACATATGCCAAAAGGGAATCTCTAGTGGGAAACTCGGATCGTATCGGTGTACCATCGTCATTTTTCAACTGTACGCGAATACGACCGCGATACAGAGGTTCCTTGCTGCGTTCCTTCGGATGTAGCTTATTCTCAACGCCTACATTAAAGCCCACTGCTACCAACACATCCCGTATCTCCTGATGCGTTGGATTCTCTACGCATTTGTCTTTGGTCAACTTTCGTCCGCCCTTCAAACTCCTTTTGCTGTTCAAATATATTGGGTAAATGCACACCCACCTGTAAAAAGCGATATGTCAGATATGACAACATATGGCAAATATTATTTATACTTGTACAACTCGGAAGCCTCAATGAAACACTAATAAATATGAAATATTAAAAATAATTTGTATTATTCTTTAAGATGAGGCAAAGTTCTTTGTAAAGAAAAAATCTAAACTCTTTTGTAACATCTTTAATTCTTATCCAATTTTGACATTAGAAAACTTCGATTCAAATTGACATTATAGGTTAGCATGATATATAGATTGTAATGTGTCTTATAAGCTATGAAAAAAACTGTTATGAAAAAATTTATCATGTATTTAAAAATTGTGTATATATTAATATTTGACCATGTGCTTCTTGTAGTGCTACTATAAACTTGCCTCTCGCGTTCGCTGTGTTTCTTAGATGGATTCCATACAAGCGACATGTTGCTGTTGCTGGTTGCTGTATGATACATCAAGAGATATGTGTATCATCTGTGGCTGTGGCTGTACTGTATGCTATACGCTGTATCACATGTTTTCGAAGGAAATGTTATTTTAAAACAACTCTCATTCATATACATGAGATTTATACACGCAGTATATCGTAGTGTGTAACATTATTGGCCAATTATTTAAATAAAAGAATAAAATATTAATAATGAATGCAGCAAAAATTAAATAATCTCGGGCTCGTCCGGGATTTGAACCCGGGACCTCTCGCACCCGAAGCGAGAATCATACCCCTAGACCAACGAGCCATGTAATGGTACTTTTCGAACACAAGCCTCAAGTTATAGCACTATCTATATAGTGCTAAAATTTATATACACACAGATATTGCTTTCTATTTATTTCATAGGAATGTGTTTTTTCTATGTATATCTCGACAAAATTTTACCAAGTTGACTACCTCAACTCCGATAATTTTATCTATACGAGTGCGAAAAAGATAGAAAAAAATTCAAGCGCTTAGAAAGAGTCCAGAAATTTTTAAAAAATCTCTTATCTTTACATTCGAGTAACACATCGAATTAATGTAATGTCTCTGTAATTTAAAATAATTCGTTTTATCCGCTTTTTTAAAGATTTTACAGAATGATAATTTCCATAATAAAATCAGATTATGGCAAAAACATACAAGAATAAAAAATGATTCAATTCAAACATTTATTAATCTTGTTGCAAATAAATTAAACATGTAAATTACATAAGTACAATTAAATATAATTACATCTAATAAACTCTCAAGTAAATATAGAACGGATTATATTTATAATATTAACAATAAATAATATGCTTTATACATAAATTTAATATTTAAAATATTACAACTTTTTATATATATATGTTTTACGAGAATAGTTGCTTTAATAATTGTATTATTAAAATAATAAACATTAGGTCTTAATTTTTTTAGTACACAGACATGTGGAAATATTATATACATAATAATGACTTGGGCAAGTTTTTTTTTATAGTAATTCTTGTTGTACAGCTATCTTTATAGAGTAGAAGTCATATATAACTTTACTCATTTAATTGTTACAACACAGAAATTTTTATGTTAAATTTCTCAAATTGCTTATAGCTCTTGAATATCCCTAATTTTTTAAAACATGATATCAATATCTAAAAGTCACTTCACTAAGCCGTTGAAAAATTTTGTATGGAAATTTATTTTTCTTTTTTTCAAATATATATATATGTGTGTGAATAGGCGTTTTTGTATGCGCTTTTATGCGTACAAATACATATAATATACACACACTATGTGTATATTTTCTCTGTGGCAATTTTAGTAATCAAAAAATATTGATTACAAAAATTGTACCATGTAAAAAGGTTCATATTTTATCCAAATTCGGAATCATGAGGCACATGGCATTTTTCTACTTGTTTTCATATAAATAAATAATATATTTAAGAAATAAAATAGTACTTTGTTATAATTATATCCAATAGTCATTGTTAAGTTAGCACATCTTCTTTGTTAGCTGAAAGATATCAAGTTATTGAATCTGAATTTTTATATTCTAATATTTTTGAAGAATTTCTTTGCAAAAGATAATACACAGATATAAATAGGTTGTCTGAAAAATAATATTGTTTCTTTTTAACTTAAAATTTCAATGTTTTTTATCGTACAAGTGGTTCTTGATATAAATAGTAGTAACTGGTTGGTAGACAGTGGCTAGTATTATCAACTTTTCAAAATAATGAAACAATCATCATCAATAAGTATTATGAGAAATTGGGTCAAAAATGAACAGGACATTAAAAGATTGGCACTGATCAATTTCGAAAAGATATAGTGTTCTTGCATGACGCAAGATTTTGATCACACCGACAAATTACTGATACAGAAATGCATAGAGTTATCTGTCTCTTATTTCAATTAATTCTATCAAATATCAACGTTAATTAAATTAAAAGTTAGGATAAAATGTAAAAGATTAAAATATAAAATGACATTATTTTATGGACAACCTAACAACTCTGATATTAAGACAGTTGGAAAAAATTCTATATGGATGATTATGCACAAGCAATAAACAATATAAAAGAAAACAAATAAAATTCATGTGTCTATTAATATATGAAAACATGATCTAATTCAGTAAGGAGAGGATTACAGTATACATTTCTAGAATCACAGTAGATGTATTAAATATTTCATTCTCTCTATCAATTCTTGTAGATGAAGTAACTTCAGATGTTATATGCCGAAGTTAAAGATTTAGACATTCATGAAAACTACTGCAGAAATGGGAAGAACACAGTATAACATGGTGATAGGCACACCAATAATTGGCAAAATGCTCTTAGTCTTCCATTTCTGACCTATAATGATTTGTTATTATCCATTGCTGATTCACACATTCATGTGAATCTTTGATCCGACATTTCAATAGTTAATATATTACACAATACACTGTATATATATATATATATATATATATATTATACTAGGCGCACACTATACTGATTTAAAAACGCTAGAACAACATTCTAGTGCAATGAGAAATACGATAAAAGGACAACAATCAACAAATGTAAAAACAAAGGCCAGAGCAAGTATTACTGGTTGAGGCCAATTTTTTTCACTTACGCATAGCACCACTATATGCTATATGCAAGTTCAAATATGAAAATTCTCTTGATGTTAGATTAGGTTACCATCCCATTGCAGAAGGAACACGAGAACCTACCGTAAAATCTTTGTATTGGGAGAAGACACATATCTGAAAAGTTTATAACATCAGAAAATTTATCAAATTAGACAGAAATTCTTTACATACCTTATCTTTCAGTCGTTGACAAAGTTGTAGTGCAATAGTAAGCAATACAAGAGCGTCATTTAGCCATGGCACACTGCATTCCGCCTGCTGAGTTTCATACTTGACACTGCCATGTGCATTCTCTAACTGGTAAATAGCTAAAACCAGTTTGTAGCTTTGAATGTAAAAGCTAATGGCCAAATTCTCTGGAAGATTTGGATTAAGAGATTTCTGTAAACAAAGATTTTTTTTTCAATTTCACTAATACAGTTGCGCTAGACATGTCCATCGCAGAAGAAAATACATACCATATTTCGACTCTTGATAAGATCATCAATTGTTTTCTTTCTAGGAACAATTAAACTGGTTCTGCTCCTCTGAAGACAACCCAAGATATTACCTAATACATGCATCACTTCGTCCGAGGTTTTAAAAAGGTAATGTCTGTCTACATTATCTATATGGGCAATGCCTTGTTGTAAATGATTGGCGGCATCTTGAATTTGTTGTAACTTCCATGGATGTTCGTTCTGAATACTTGTCCTCATATTAATATTCTGTTGTCGTTGTACTTTAAAATTCACTTCCTATAAATACAGATAGTTTCTCAATAATATAACAAACAGCAAATATATATCAGCTATAATTTTAACATATTAGACCACCAATCCTAGTCAAATTTCAATAATACACTAAACTCTTTACCGCATTTGTGATACTGTCGCCTGTTAAAACAGCGACACATTTGACTTGGTCGTGTGGGGCTGCAAAGACGAATCTGTCAGTTTTATTATGCTCATTCCCAAAGAGTGCCAGTGGAAATCGCTGAGCACACTCCTAGAAATAAATATATACAATTAATATGCGCGTTACAAGTCAATTTCTCTTGACGGTGACATAATATAGTATAAAGCGATTTAATCAATCTGGACATAGAAATACTGGTTCTCTACTGTACGTACCATCAAGATATTTCGGAGCTGCGACAACGAGGAGTGCACTTCCTCGTGGAGCACCCATTCGAACTCCATTTGCTGAAAGCAGGATTAGCAACATATTACACATCGATTCGAACGATACTCCCTGCACAGGGCAAATTATCGAGGAAATGTCAAACGAAATAACCTCAAGCCTCGTTGCTCAGCAACGAGATGGTGAAACGATAGATGATTAATTTGACGATGTGTATGGATCCGACTGAACTCGCGACTAGGGAGACGGCGCGCAAGGCCGTCTAAGTGATTAGATAAATGTTAAGTAAAGGTAAATAGCTTACGAGATTGTGCGCCTCCTCCTTCTCGCAGTCTGCCATTTTTCAACTGGCGTCTGGTTGGCTAACAATAAGTCTGGTGCGTCTGGTGCGTCCGATGGATATCCACCAGTTCCACTCGTCGACAATCGACAGAGTTGCACCACGAGTACGTAATCTCATGTATATATACATATACATATATACGTATATACATATGTATGCATATGTCAGATTGTCAGCAATTGTCGGCAGAAACCGAGCGGACTCTATCCATTTAAATCGAATTATATTAAAGTGATACTTATATATCGGTATTTAATTGATTGACCTTCACATTTTTCCACTTCCTAATTCTGTTTTATTTTGATTGTTTAGATCAACTTATTATCAACAGGATCATCATCTTTGCACCGATTGCGCATCTGCAGACAAATAAATTTGAAAAGATATATATATTTTTTTTAAATTCATTTCTTATTTCTATTATTTTATTTAGATTAGTGTTATTTCTATTAGTTTATTTAGTATTTAGATAGTTGAAAAAAAAATTTATTAACCGCGAAACAATGTATATATATATATTAATAACATATATTGTTAAATATCGGAATGAATGTAAACAAATATAATAAATTGTTTTAATTATGGAAATAAATAAAATAATTATTATTGTTATTGTTTATGAGAAACGAAAAAATAATAGAAAAATGGTTGATAGAAATAAGTTATTTAGTCTTTCATTTAAATGGTACTTCAGGACATCAAATGTTTTGCAAAGAATGGATATAAGGCGATAAAAGCCTTAATCGGCTCCAGTGTTTTTATTGTAAAATTGATAGTATTACTAATAGCAACGTTAATAAAAGTATAAGTTGTCTTAAAATATTTACTTCATTTTCAGCAACAAAAGCATGATGTAGATATTTTTTGTCCTTCATCAATAACTATTATTTAAACAAGACTACACTAGTGGAATATTTTATTGATTCATCAATAAAACAAATAAATAATAACAGTCAAATAAATAAGACAGTTTATCTCTTCAAATAACACTCGCAACAAAACGTAAAAAACAGACCGTATCTTGTGCTATGAATATAGGATAGATTATAGTTTATTTTTATTACTATTCGCATATTGCAGCACTACTACCAATTTTACACATATATTTTGTGTCTTATGTAGTCATACACTATATGTGTAAAAATCTTTGTGGTACACGAATACGCTCTCTATGAAAAGACTGCGACCGAATGCTAAAAAAATATAATTTTTCATGGTTTTTGAAAATCAGACCTAAGTTGAGAATGTATTTCTTAATAAATGGTATTAAAATTAAAAAAATATGTTTGTCTTTTCTAAGACTATATATCTATATCTTCTATATTTATTAAGGTATCAAAGAAAATCGATTCCGCATATTTAAGAAAAAGCAATCTTTCGGGCCGATTTTAGGCCTTATGGCCACTCATCCTTTGAAAGATTTTTAATCCCTGATATTTATTCTAAATATTTATTATAGACAGGATAAAAATTTAAATTGTTGTTTCCTCTCTCTGTCGCAATTTCCTCTTTCACCTCGTTCACTTGGCGCTTTAACGCGACCTTTGATTATTACGCAGCGTCGCCGTCGCTCGCGTTACACGTGGCTGCGATGTCCTCGATGCTCGTCGTTTCGCTTCCGGCCACGTGGCCACCGCGGGAAAAAAGAGGGTCAAATGAATCTTTGTGGTACATAAATGCATTCTATCAAAAAACTGCGATCAAATAAAAAAATATATTCTTCGGATTTTGACGGTCATTGCAAACTTAAGTTCAGAGTATTTCTTAATAAATGATATTAAAATAAAATAAATATTTGATATTAAAATAAAAAATAATAAAATAAATTTTGATATTGAAATAAAATAAATATTTTCGTATTTCCTAAACTCCATATCTTCTATATTTAAAAAGATATGAAAGAAAATTGATTCCGCATCTTTAAAAAAAGGCGGTATTTTGAGATCGATTTGGGTCCTTATCACCATGCATCTTTTGCTTGTTTGTGAACTTGGCTGTTTGAATTGTGCAAGATATGTGTTCTTTCTCCCTTCTCTTTCTCCCTCTCGATAAAGAATATCACCTTCTGATAACCCAAGCTATTTATTGATATCAGCGGCTCTCGACGAGTCAAATAGTAACAACTGACAATGTCACGTGTGTTGTTAGAAAAGAGTTCTTGCTACGTCTCCCGATTCCAAATGACGACGAGATACCTGGTGACTGATCCAAAATACGGATTTTTAAAGCAATTAGGTATTACCATCGAGAATCCCGGACTTTATGACGGAAGATGGGGTGGTTCCGGCAAGGTATGCGATCTTATTTCTTTTTATCGATATTGATAATCATAAATTGATTATTGGTACATTATGGAAAAAGCCGGAGAAAATCTTAAACAAAAATAAATACAAATCACATTGTATATAACAATAATATATATATGTCGCTCAAATTAATTTTATATACAGTTAATAAAATAGATATTTTTAAATATAGTTGATAGAATCGATATCACCGGCGACCGGCAAAGTGATTGCAAAGATCCGGGAGTCGACGCCGCAGGAAGCTAGCAATGCTATCACGGAAGCGCGTAAAGCATGGCCACAATGGACATCTATCCCGATGCCAGCGAGAGGAGATATTGTCCGGCAAATAGGGGACGAACTCAGAAGAAATTTGAAGCCGCTAGGCTGCTTGGTATCCTTGGAAATGGGTAACTTAATTATTGTTTTAACGAGAACTCACTATAACAGCCTGTATAATTAATTGAGTTGTGTATATACAATAGTGTAAATTTATTTATTTATTAATATATATGAACACGTATGCATGTACAGGAAAGATATTACCGGAAGGTATAGGCGAGGTTCAGGAATTCATCGATATATGCGATTACGCGGTCGGCTTATCGCGAACGCTATCCGGCAGCCTATTCCCATCGGAGAGAAAGAATCACGCGCTCCTAGAGAAATGGAATTCTCTGGGTGTGATCGGCATTATCTCCGCGTTCAATTTCCCTATAGCGGTAAATGTGTAATCTTCAGAACTCGATTCGTCGCACTTTAAGAATTCTTGCACTGATTTGCCCGATTTGTCTCAGGTGTATGGCTGGAACAGCACTGTCGCCATGGTCTGCGGTAACACTATCGTTTGGAAAGGAGCGCCGAGCACATCTCTGGTGTCTATCGCAACCACCAAGATAATCGCGGGTGTCTTGGAGCGCAATGGTATCCCGGGCTCCGTTGCGTCCCTGATCACGGGTGGACCGGATGTCGGGGAGACTCTAGTGAACGATAAACGGTCAGTTTGAATTTAGATCCATTATACGTTATAGAATCGTGCGAAAACTGTAACAATCTAGTATCGCTACAGGGTACCTCTTATTTCGTTTACCGGAAATTCGAACGTAGGAAAAGAAGTGGCACTCAAAATTCAACAGAGATTCGGAAGATCCTTGCTGGAGCTTGGCGGTAACAATGCGTTGATCAGTACGTATATCTTCTCGATGAAATAATCAATTCTCCGTGTGCATTAATACATGTGTACATAACTGTTTCTCTTCTGTCAACAGTTGCGCAAGATGCGGATTTAGAGATGGCAGTGAGAGCTGCGGTCTTCTCATGCGTTGGAACAGCTGGACAAAGATGCACCACAACCAGAAGATTAATATTGCACAAAAAAGTAAAAAACGAATTCTTAGGTAGGCACAATTCGCGATAAATAATGTAAATAGAAGAAATATCTTCACGCAATGTAGCATACTGTTATTTGCAAAATTTTTAGGAAAATTAAAAACGGCATACAAGAGTATACTAGAAAGAGTCGGAGATCCATTGGAGGATGGTGTGCTGTATGGACCATTGCATAATCAACAAGCGGTCGACAAATACAAGGTATACGCAACAGTTCCAATATCTTTCAAGCAAAGTATTAAATTGAGCAAAAGTTCGTTTCTTTTTTTCGTCTATTAGTACAAGAATCCTTCAGAAAACAAGAACTCTTTGATTAACCCAATACTCTTGATTGCAGGCAGCAGTTGAAAAAGCTGTGAAAGCCGGTGGCACGATAGAGTTCGGTGGAAAGCAAATAGAACGACCCGGTTTCTACGTCGAGCCGACGATCATCTCAGGTCTACCGCCCGAAGCGGAGGTGGTCCAACAAGAAACTTTTGCCCCAATCGTTTACATCTTGGAGGCGAATTCCTTAGAGGAGGCTATCGATCTTAATAATGGTGTGGAGCAGGGATTGAGCAGTAGTCTCTTTACTAAAAGCATCGGAAATGTATTTCAGGTAAGTATATAAATACAACTAACACGTGTAAACGTACGTGTATATTTATACGTTCAAGTATATAATCGGATTAACTTATCGAATCTCGATTTTACGCAGTGGATCGGCCCTCACGGATCAGATTGTGGCATAGTCAACATCAACATAGGCACTAGCGGCGCCGAGATAGGTGGTGCGTTTGGCGGCGAGAAGGCTACCGGCGGTGGTCGCGAAAGCGGAAGCGACGCATGGAAGCAGTATATGCGACGCGCGACGATCACGATCAATCACGGAAACGAACTTCCTCTGGCTCAGGGCATCAAGTTCGAATAAATTGAACGGGCGTTGATCTCAGAGGAAAAGATCAGCGCTTCAATTCAAATCTTATAAAATCCACCTGTATGTCGACGGAAGCTTTTTTGTGGAACTTGTAAGCCCTCGGCAGATCGTATTTAAGTTCGGCTATCACCTTTCCTTCTGCGCCGAGCTGTGCCGCCTTCGAGAGAACGTAATCTCGCGTGCTGCTCTTGTGCAACGAATAAATCGCATTAGACGAAAGTTTCATTGCCACTTCGAGAAATTTCATGTCGATGCCGGCATTTTTTTTAGTGCCAAAAGGTGGGTTCATTATAACAGTATCAAAGAACTTCTCATATTTTCCTACAACATAGCAGATATTGTGTCATATATACGTTTGTACTTTTAATAAAATCTAGTAAAAAACTTATATGTATACCTGGTAAATATTGCAGAATATCGCATTGAATAACTTCGATAAAGAGTTCTATGTCGGTGCAATTTCTATATTGTATATCAATTGCATCTGAATCTATCTCGAACCCAACTACATATTCAGCACCAAGCATTTTGGCACCCAGTGACAATATACCGCATCCAGAGCCTAAATCTGCTATGCTTTTACCTTCTATATCGTTAAACTGCGATTGTGCAGTGTACAACATGTGTGAGGCAATATGTGCGCTAGTGGCATATTGCTCGAGCAAGATTTTTGGGTTTTCAAACACATCCATTTGTTGAAGAAACTCTTCTAATTGACGAAGTCGAAGACTAGCCATTATCTCCTCAAAGACTGTCAATCGCAATTTCTCTCCACAGAATTTTATCCAACAAATATTTATAAAAACAATTCTCATTCAATAATTCTCTTTCATTAATATTATTTACATACAGTCTTTAGTAATATTTAGTTGTTTATATACACTTGATCATCTTTGCAAATAATAATTCATTTACTATCAAATCTAGGGAGAACTGGTAATATTAGATTTCCGAAGGAAGAGTCCTGTGTCACAAAGTAACCGAATGAGGCTGCATGTGCATTGTGCAAAGCTGCTCTTTGAGATGCACTCATCGCTACACCATCATTAGATTGTATTGCAGGCTATTAATAAAGATATATGTCATCAAGCTGAAGTTTTAAAGACAACAAAGATTGTCAATTAAAAAGGTAATATCAACAGAATATACTCACTACATTTGATGCAGAACCGGTTGACGAAACGCCCAATGATGAATTTAAAGTGGGTGCAACTCCTTGCTTTAATAGCATCTGCTTTTTCAACTGTAGCTCTTCTAAGATCTTTCTATTTTGCAATTCTATAACAACAATCAAAGTATATTTTATTATAGTCTGTATAGTTTAGTATAGTCTGATGTACTAAATGACAATGTAAAAAAATGATCTACATTCATATCAAGATTACCTCTAGAATTCGATTGTGAAAAAGCCATGAAATTTACATAAATAATTCAATACTTGGTAAATATCAAGTCAATGACGTGATGATTGTATTACAAGGATTATCATAGGTTATTTACCAAATATTAACCTTTTCGAAGAACTTTTCGAGATAACAGTAGAAAGATAGAGCGCATTCAGCAGACTCAACAATTGAGTTGTTGAGCATCGTCTTGTCAACACTCGACGTTGATTTGTTGATTCTAAAAGTAAGAACCAATCAGGTTCGATTGTTGACACAACTGTTGAGTCCACTGGATGCATCCATTCAGAACTCGTGCTAGAAAATAAGCAGTACATTCTGCTTTTTTAGCGCGAGTTCTGATTAACCTCTGCTTTTCTGCTTTTCTACCAAGGTGTGAATCCGGCCTAAGGGCCAATTTCACAAAGTCCGGTTAAGCCCGTATCAGACTACGCATTGAAGATTGAGTTTGAAGATTCAAGATTGAAATTTGACCAATTAGGACAAAGAAATTTTAGTCTCTTTTGTTCTGATTAGTCAAATTCCAATCTTTAATCTTCAATCTTCAATTTTCAATGCGTAGTCTGATACGGGCTTTAGTGTGGTCTTGTGTCGTTTTAAGATCTCATTCAACCAATGAAATGGCCACATAGCATCTTAAAGCCCGTATCAGATTACGCATTGAAGATTGAAATTTGTCCAAT